CTATTGTATAGCTGTATTTGAAAAAAAGAAAAGGAAAGAAAGATTTATAGTGAGTAACCTGATTTCAGACAAATTCACCAAAGGAAATATGCATCCTTGTTGCTAGGAAAAAGAGAAGGGCAAAAATGAGACAGAAGCTGAAAAAGTGCACTAAAGGGCAATGGAAATACAGTAAGATATTGTTTCTGGAGAGGCCAACATGGATTTCTGTTGCTTAGGTGTTTTTCTTTTTGAAGTCAATTGTCAATCACAGATCTGACTCTTTGGCTAAACCAACCACTAAAACAATGGAGTATACAGTCCTGGAATCAGATACAATTTGCGTATAATTGGCACAGGGGTGATGAATCATCTTTCCTTTTTCAGACATGGATGAATGCTTTAAATGCGAGATGATCAATATCCTAAACAGAGTAGAGATAGATGCATCCTCCAAAGCCTTATGACATTTCTTTCTTTTGAAGAATCTTGGGGATCAGCCTTAGTTCGGTTTCTGTTTCTCTTTCACTCATCACCACTTTTGTGCTAAGACTTTTCATCAAGCACAGAGATACCCCTATAGTCAAAGCCAACAATCGGGACATCAGCTACATTCTCCTTGTCTCCCTCCTCCTCTGCTTCCTCTGTTCTTTGCTGTTTCTTGGAAGACCTACGGAGGTGACCTGCATTCTCCGTCAAACTACTTTTGGTATTGTCTTCTCTGTGGCTGTTTCTTGTGTGTTGGCTAAAACCATCACTGTGGTTGTTGCTTTTATGGCCACCAAACCAGGGTCTAGCATGAGGAAGTGGGTGGGCAAAAGACTGGCCAACTCCATTGTGCTTTCAAGCTCTCTTATTCAAGCAGGCATTTGTGTGGTGTGGCTGGCAATCTCTCCCCCATTCCCAGATTTGGACATGCACTCACAGGCTGTGGAGATCATAGTTGAATGCAACGAAGGTTCTGTCCTCATGTTTTATCTTGTCCTGGGCTACATGGGCCTTCTAGCCATCATCAGCTTCAATGTGGCTTTCCTGGCCAGGAAGTTGCCGGACACTTTCAATGAGGCCAAATTTATCACCTTCAGCATGTTGATGTTTTCTAGTGTTTGGATGTCCTTTGTCCCTACCTACCTGAGCACCAAGGGAAAATATATGGTAGCTGTAGAGATCTTCTCCATCTTAGCCTCTGGTGCTGGGATATTGTGTTGTATCTTTGTCCCTAAATGCTACATTATTCTGCTGAAGCCCAAGCTGAACATCAAAGAGCAACTAGCAAAGAGATATAATTAAGGAATGTAATAATGTAATTTCTTTTTACTCAGTGTTCGAAACTGAGATATGAACGCTAGGAGCTAAATGGCACCTTAAACCTAGGTTATGGGTTCAGAAACACAATGTCTAGGCACACTTTTTATAAGAATACAAAGCTGAAAATGAATGAACTGTAGCTAAAATATTATGTTCATTATTCACATTGTCTAGTTTTTTCCCTGCCCAACCCCCTAATATTTTTAAGATGGTCTCTTCTCCAGTCTTCAGAGAGTAGCTGGAAGTGGGGAGGCAGTAAAAAGTCCTCCTTTCCTCCCACTCTGCAGTTTTTTATTTAAAATCTTAGGCACTGTACTGTGCCCAGAGCTCACAAACTGCTTGTGCTAATGAAATCCCCTGTCACAAAATGCAACTAGAACAATGGGAGTTTCGAACACTGATACTACTGTAATGCTAATCTGATATTAAATTTGCATTTATTCTGAAGTGTTTGTGGCAATGAAAGCTGTGGACCTACCCTATCAGTTAGTTCAGGATACCATATCAGCTGATTCATTTCATTTTTGTCACATATCTGAACAAATTTAAGAAATAAAATATCATTTATCAATGAAGGCTAAGACCTGTTTCTGTTCATTTTTTTGGTATTGCAATCAGATTTAAAAAGCAAAGGACACAGGGATATAAATTATCATGTTACAACAATGTAAAACACAATATTAACGACAGTTTGAACACCTATAAATTAAAAAGTGCACATATTAGCCACAATGGCTGTATTTTGCCACTGTCATGTGCTTCTCAGTATCAAGTGCTGGAAATCATAAGAAGAGACTGTTGCATTAGGCCAATGACCCATCTAGTCCAGCATCCCGTTCTTACTGTGGCCAACCAGATGCCTTTGGGAATCCAGCAAGCAAGATTTGTCCACAAGAGATCTCCCTGCTCCTGTGGTTTCCAGCAGCTGTTACTCAGAAGCATTGCTGCCCTTAGCCATCATGGCTAGTAGTCATCAATAGCCTTTTCCTAATCACAAGTGGAGAGAATGCAGGCTTCCACTGAAAGAATCAAAATGCTAAACCAGATGGGACTTGGGCCTGATTCATCAAGGGTCTTCAATGCCTTCATTGAAGTGAAATGCTTTCATTGCAGAGTGTCATGTGAACTTGAGAATTTGGAGTGGGATGGTGGTGGTTAAGTATGACACCAATTGTGTCATTCTTTGTATGAGTCCAAATATGCCCCCCATTAGTTTTGTATCTCCCAGGGTGGGGGGTGAGGGGTGGGGGGAGGAATGTCACCCCTCCTGCCAATGGTCTCATTAAGAGCCAAATCTCTTCAAGGGTATTTTTCTCTCTTCTATATTTAAAAAAATTGTTGTAATTAAGGCAGCAGACTACAGCTCCAACAGGATTCCAGGAGACATGAGGCAAACAAGGTTTTAAATTCAGGTAGGTAGGTGTGTTGGTCTGACACAGTTGAATTAAATTAAAAAATTGTCCAGTGGCACCTTAGAGACCAACTAAGTTTGTTCTGGTTTTTAAAATCTCCCTCTTCTGCTTTTTAGAGCTGGGATTCAGGGAAACAGGCAGTTTGCTCCCTGTCATTCTTCATTGTGTGTTTCTGGCTTCAAAAACAGTGTGTGTTTGTTGTCATTCAAGTTTGGGGTGTGCACATCAATATGTGTCAAACTTGCATTTCTTTAGCACATTTTTCTGTTAATCTGTGGGGAAAAATCCTAAACCTTTAACAGTCTCAATATGAACATTTCTAAGTACACTTTATAAAATTTAATCATGTTGGTGCTGTTTTTCGAGCTGAAAGCTTTTACTACAAAAATCAGAAATGTGCAAAATCCAAAGTATAATTCTATGTTCCTATCTTATTTGCGTATCAGTTAAGGAGGTATAAAATACATTCGTTCACTTGAAAAAACAAATTCACTGAAACTCTCCTTCATTCCTGGATTCAAGGCATGGTTCATTTCTGAGAGAAATTGCTGCCATTGCCCTCTTCCCCAAACGATATGTCTCCTGCTTGGAAGCAGCTAAAGACCAGGCACCTACTAATAATTTACTATATCGTTAACTTACAACACATCTATTCAGAAGTCTCAGTTTTAAACCGGGTTTAGTCTAAAGTAAGTGAGTAGAGAATGACAGCCTTGACTTTGCTGTAGAATGGAGTTTCCCAAACTTGGGTCTCCAGCTCCACCAGTGATTAAGGATGATGGAATTGTAGACTAAGAACAGCTGGAGGATACTGTACCTAGAACAGCCATTTTACAAATGTGCCCACAGCACTAGCTAAAAATGTGAAATATGTCTAGCAATCCAAAAATGTTGTTGACCAGCATCTGGGCAGATTTCTGAATTGGCTGCCTTTGAAGGCTGCTCAAAAACTTCATCTGTGAAACAATAAATCTACCTGCTTTGCAGCTGAGATTGGGAGATTGGCACTCATTTCATTGATATTACACAAGTTGCACTGGTTGCCAGTGCTTTTTGGGATGCTGCTGTTGACTTTACATTTTGTTGCACATTGTGGAGAAGCTCTCTCAAGAAATAAGGTATAAATTTGTTAAATAAAAATAGATTGATAAGTGTGCTTCAATTTTCTGAACATTAGACATCATTTCAGAATTTACTGATTACATCTCCAGGCAATAAGATAGCTCCACTGTAGATGCATTTTCCAGATGGTATCTGCTCACCATGGAAATCTGGAACAAATCTTCCATTTCTAATTTCTTTAGGGAGCAGAAGAGATGTGTGGTCAAATCTCAAAAGAAAGGTCTTCATATCTTTTACCAAAAGTGTCACATGTATGAAGAAGTAATTATCTTCCCCTACAATTATCTAAATCACAATAACGTGTTCACTTGGCCAAATTTCTAAAAGCTTTCCAGAAGGCACTGAAAAACAAGAAGGAAGCTTGGAAATAGTTACAAATAACCCCCTCTGCCAGGTATAGTTGGGAGTGCAGGCATAAAGTGGTTGGCAGGTCTTAGTAACAACAAGCCTCCCATTTTTCATCATATTAGCCACTACTCACATTGAAGTGTTGGCAACCTAAGTAAGCATTCAATAAAAGTAAGTGTGATGTGCGTCTCTGTAAGAAGTGTAATGTCAGGTAATATTCAGTGCAGTCAAAGTCATAGAGTTGATGTGTATGAGCACCTTGAGAGACACTTTCCTTCCATCACGGTGAGGCTCATGCGCATTGCAAGTGAAACTCAAACATATGTACTTTTTTGAACACTTTGCTTCAATATGGTATGTTTCAGGAAGTGATCCACATAAAAATTATTCCAAAATCTCATTCCTAAAACTCCTATCATATTTCTGGGTAGGTGCTTCCCCTTTCTGTGTGTAATGAATATTGCCATCCTGGTCATCAGGGAAAAAAGAAAAGAAAGAGAAAAGTTTTGCTGCTATGATTGCGCCCCATTCCCTGAAGGGAGATTTCAAACCAGACTGGTAGGTATTGTCCTCATTATAAAATGTTGGCATCATATGTGGATTCAATATGATGTTTGAGATGAACAAGAACTGAACTGGTGTGTTTTTTTTTAAAAAAAAATATTTCTCAGACATGAATGACTGTTTCAAATGCCCAGAAGATCAATATCCAACCATAAACAGAGATGATTGTATCCCAAAACATATGAACTTTCTGTCATATGAAGAACCTTTGGGGATCACTTTAGCATCAGTTGCTGGGGGTTTTTCCCTCATCACAGTCTGGGTGTTAGAGATTTTTATTAAATACAAAGACACCCCCCCCATTGTGAAGGCCAACAACCGAGCTCTCACCTACACTCTCCTAATCTCCCTCCTTCTCTGCTTCCTCTCTTCTTTCTTATTCCTTGGTAAACCCTGTGTAGTGTAGTGATGCCATCAACCAACTTTTTAATAAATAAGGTATACTATTCATTGTAATAAATGGTAGATATCAACGGAAGTCTCATAAAGTTCAACAAAAAAAGTAGATGACCCAGTGGATCAGTTCATTCTCTAATTAGCCCATGCATAAGGTCCATACATGTGTAAGTTTCAGTGTCTATTCCACCTGTCTGTTCATAGCGTCCAATAACCCACATGAAAGGTTGTTACAGTTCCACAGAATCCTTTCACAGAGTCTAAGACAAGGATTTCCAGAATATTAGCCTTGTTTTGGCATCCTAGGCTTCATCAGTAGTACAAGCTCTAGGTAATACAAATAAAGACAATATCGTCATCTCACACATTTTTATAGCAAAAATGATATAAAAAACCATAACTGTACATACCATATGTAATACTACAGGACACTGGACCTTATAGCATAGTAGTAGCTGCAGTAAGCAGCAAATGTTACAAAGCAGGATTATATGGACAAGCACAATATTGGTTTGAGTAACAGGTGTTGGCAATCCACAGATACACAATTTCTCTCTTAAATTGACCCATATGGCACAACAAAGGTAAAACAAACTTAATCCATGCTCAGATGTTATATATTTAAGACAAACTCATACATAAAATAATAGCAATCCATAGGAACAAAATGTGTTTTTCAAAGTAATCTACTCGGCCCACAGAAGTAAAACAAACTTAGCCCATGCTCAGGTGTTCTACATATAAACATTAGTACACATTCACAAAAAGCAACTATAATCAATTTCAGTATTCAGACCTGAGGGATGTAAAGAATTCAATAAGAAAATGAATCTAGTTTCTTTCTGTATGAGGATTTTTTTAGCTCATTCTACAGGACCTAGATATGTCCAAATTACAAAAAATGTCAAGTCCTCATCAGAATGAGATGCTTCAATAAAATTTTGTACTAAAGGAGCATCTGTTACATTGTTTCTGATCCTAGATCAATGCTCCAATATTCTTAGTTTGATAGGTCTGAGAGTATGACCCACATACAACAATCCACAGGGACACCTAATCACGTAAATTACACGTGGAGTAGCACGTGTGGCAAATGCCTGTAAAACGAACTTAAAACCTTCTTTGTTGTTAAACTCTTTT